ATGGTTAAGCATCAAACATGCAAGTGAGCCTGCGAGCTGCATTGCACAGAGGTAGTGTGTCACTCCCCCACCGCAGGCAGGCAGGCAGGAGCAGCGTGGAGCTGTGGTGAGGGTTCAAGAGTTCAATTCCCAGACCCTGCCGCTGTCCCTTTCAGCAAAGTGCCTCACCCACATTGCTCCAGTAAAACACACCGCGGTACAAACGGGTATCGCTTTGGATAAAAGCATCAGACAAATCTGAATTAAATAAAAGTGCTAACACGGTTCACAAAACAGATGTATTTGCGTATTTATAAATCCCTAAAAAATGCCTCTTTCGCAAACATTTGCATGAAACAGGAGACACAAAAAGATAAGGCCACTTCTTCCTCTTGGAAGTTAGCCATCTATTTCAGCAGAAGGGCAGCCCGTGTCACTCACCCTGGACGTCTTCCGTGTCGCTGATGATGTTGTGCAGGGGCTCCTCTTCCGAGCTCTCGGCGGTCTGGGTGCTGTGTGCCCTCCAAGCCAGGGCCCGGCCGGGCAGAGTGGGCTGCCTCTGGACACTCAGGACACGAGGCGGTCCCCTGAAGATCCTGGGCGTCACCGCCGAGCTGTCTGGAAACGCACATCGGCCCAGAACGGCACAGACCCCTTTCAGAGACGAGGCCTGCGCAGGACAGCAGCATCGCCACGTGCACGGAATACTGAAGCAGAGTAGGAGCTCAGCTACTACAGTACCTGGCTGAGAATACACAGCAGTCAAAAGCTTAAACTGAGGGCATACGTGTGTTTTTAAATACTTAGGATTGAGCAGACTGTGCTTGAGCGTTTCTTTGGTGACAAGAGTTAATACTGGCAGCCACAACTGGAGATGTCTTCGGTACGAGTTTTTTTTGTCATGCATCCTTCTGAGTGTGGTGGGGAGCTGTTGCCCTAATTCGCAGTGATTTTCCACCACCATCTGAAAGATACAAATGAGCAGCTGGACTCTTTTAAAGTGACAGTGAGAACAATCAGTGGTGCCAGCCTGACAAGGTGACCAGCCGAGCAGAAGAGGAACAAGACTCGGGGATTGGGAGATGGAGGCAAAATCTAACCCTATGTGCATTTTTGTTTCCGTTATATAGACCCAAACAAGAGACACAAGCATTTTTAGTGTTGTACACTTTCGCAGAGCTTGTGTGCTTGAAGCGAGAAGGGGATGAAGAAAAATCAAAGGTCTAGAGAT